CAACGTATCGTCTGGCGCTTCTCGGAGTCGGACCCCATCCTCGACTATCTCCTCAAAACAGTTACATTCGGCTTTAGCGCCTCCCCGTTCTTGGCGATCTATTGTTTGCTCCAGTTAGCTCATCAATACCGCGAGAAATATCCTCTAGCGTTCGCAGCCCTACTCGAGGCGCTGTATGTGGATGACGTCGTGACAAGCGTTCGGACGGTGGAACAGGCTCGCGCACTCCGCGACCAATTGCTATCGCTTCTCCGAAGCGCCGGCTTCGAGCTTCGAAAGTGGTCGAGCAGCCATCCTGCCGCGCTGGAGGGCCTCGCAGTTATGTAGCCCATCGATGTTAGATTTCGAGTCAAGCGAGGATCAATCTCAGAAGATATTGGGCCTTCGGTGGCACTCACAATCTGACAGTTTCGGGTTTCAAGTCAACGCGTTGGATCGTGAGTGCACCAAACGCACTATACTGTCGGAAGTAGCGCGCATATTTGACCCCCTGGGTTTTCTGGCCCCACTCACCTTTACCGCGAAGTGCTTAATTCAGCGTCTGTGGACCCTCAAGTTAGATTGGGATGATGAGCCTCCGATGGACATTCGTCGCAGTTGGAGTCGTTTCCAGACGGAGCTCGGCGTGTTATCTTCCCTTCGCGTTCCTCGCGCGTTTAGCTCGTGCCATGTAGATCGCTGCGAACTCCACGGGTTCTGCGATGCCAGCGAGCTGGGGTACGGAGCCGTGATTTATCTGCGAATCGTTACGCGCGACGGCGTCGGGGTCCGATTACTATGCGCCAAGTCTAAGGTCGCCCCGCTTCGCCCCCTCACCATTCCCCGTCTGGAGCTCTGCGCGGCTCTGCTCTTGTCTAAATTAATCGCGTACGTCCGGCGCACCCTCCGCGGACACCTTGACATTGACGACGAGTATGCTTGGACGGATTCCGAGGTCGCCCTGGATCCGCTCAGCACCACAACGGTGGAAGACCTTCGTTAGAAATCGCGTTGCCCTCATTCAGGACAACGTGCCGGTATCAGCTTGGGGTCACGTCGACACGGAGTCCAATCCGGCGGATCACTGCTCCCGCGGGCTTTATCCTCGCGATCTGGTGGCCAGTTCGATGTGGTGGACGGGCCCTGAGTGGCTTGTTCGCTTCGAACTCCGAGTTGAGCCTTCCCACGGTTCGGAAACCCCTCCGATCGAGGAGGAGAAAATCGTATCGCTCGTGGCGCTCGATCCGCCTGACGCGGTACATTCATTGCTCGAAAGATTCTCTTCAATCGAGAAAATTGGCCGAATTATAGCATACATTCTCAGGTTTGTACATCACTTCCGTGCAAAATCTGCTCCTACGACTTTGGCCATAGATCAGCTCGAACTGCATTCCGCGTTACTACTCGTTGTGAAGAGTGTACAGGCGGATGCTTTCCGCGATGAGATCGATCGTCTTCAAAGCGGGAGAAGGCTCCCCAAGCCCTTTCGCAAACTCGCTCCTTTCCTTGATCCGGTGGGTATTCTCAGGGTGGGCGGCAG